CCTGGGACACCAGGGCACTGGCCCCGACTTACAGGGGGGCCCTGGGCCCAAAGGCCCAAAGTTCACGCGAGTTATTAAATTTACACCTCCTCTGTACAAACAACGCTACCAGTTCGTCAAAGATTTAGTGGAGAAATACAAACCTAAGAAGGTTGGTATGTTTTGTTGTCTCTCTAGGTTATAAATTTGAAAAGAAGTTGACACTTCATATCTCAGGAAGACAAAATGCACAGATAACCTTTTGACTCAATTACCAAGCTCAATTACAATTTTGGATGAGCTGCTGTTAAAACTGAATTGGTGAAAATGTGTTGTTTTTCAGGGATGCATATAATTAATGTTACTTGATGGGAAGAGGAGACTATTTAAATGAGAGAAATGCCTTAGCCTGTTGTGGAGAGTAGTGGGCATTCTGGTTTTAATTTAAAGCTGAGTAATTCAGTTCAAGCTGCTTTCATCACAGTTGGGATTTGCTTTCTAGAGTTGGTTGTTCCCTATGCAGTATCAGGTTTGCCTCATCATTCACATGACTGTTCTCAGTTGAGAAGTGACACTGAGAGTGTGGGATTATGTGAGGCTCACTCATCTCCACTTGCTTAAGATCTTGTGACCCTTTCTTGTGTTGTCCATCTCAATATACCAGAACTCTTGTTTCAATACTACTTGGGAAAGTTAAATTAATTAAATTATGTACTGTAGTGTTTGCTCTTTTCTAACATGTCCTCTCCCTTTCCTCCCCCAGAAGAAGTTCCCAAATCTGCAGTGTTTAATTCTGAAACTGATGCTAATCTTTTAGGGGGCATGCAAGAAAATGATGATAAATGCACCTGCAGTGCACTTAAATAATCATAATTCTGGTAGCTAATAAAAATCTATGAGGTCATGGCACTGTAATATGCTTTTAAATAGAACATATTCACCAGTGTTGCATCTGTATTTAAAGATTTGAATTTTCTGATTTAGGATGTGGAAGGGGTGAGAGGGTAAACTTTCTGTTTACCCATGGGGTAGAGATAAGCTGGATAGAAACAATTCAGGATTTTCACAGGGAGAACAGCAATGTGCTTCAACCTCAACTGAGCCTGAGAAAGAACAGGGTGGGTTGGTTTGTATACCCAGCTATCTCTTAAGCTTACAGAAAAGAATATCTATTATTTGATTTTGTGGTCTGAATATCCCCAGAGTTCCCCACTTAACACTAGACTGAGCCTGTAAACTTGTTTTGTGCAGATTCTTTGCTGGTAACTTGGCTGCTGGTGAGCCTGTTTTCAGAGCAGTCCAGTGAAAAGCAATGGTGAATGTGAAAATTGCTATAGCTTTGGTACTTAAAATCATACCTTACTGTTATTCATGTGGAAGACATTTTCCAGTGTCAGTGGGATGTTCTACATGTACTTTTTTATAAGTGTAATAACAAAAGGTTAATTCTTTTAAAAAAACCTTGCAGGATGTTCATATACATTTTTTAAAAAGAAAAAACCGTGTAGTTTTGGTTGTGAAATGCTTTATCATTAAAAAGTTATTTTGATGTAAATATGGACTTTTAATTTTATTAAAATCTCTGAAATTGATTGGAAATATATAGCATTTACACATTGTTTAATATATAATTTACAGGTGGCAGATTTAGGATGTGCTGACTGCAGGCTTCTCTGGATGCTGAAATTCTGCAGTTGCATTGAAGTGTTAGCTGGGCTAGATATCTCTGCAAGTGTAATGGAAGAGAAAATGTAAGCTCTTTGATTTTGTTTTAAGGTTTGTATTTGTCTTGATGTAGTGGTTGACTGTGGCTGGAGGCCAGGTACTCACCAAAAGCTGCTCTGTCACTCCTCTCAGGGAGAGAAAATACAATGAAAGGCTCATGAGTTAAAGGGCAGGGACAGATCACTCACCAGTTACCATCATGGGCAAAACAGACTTGACTTGGGGAAATTAGTTGAATTTATTATCAAAATCAGAGTAGGATAATGAGAAGTATGGCAAATCTTAAAAACATCTTTGCCCCCACCTCTCACTCCTTACCGACTTTAACTTTATTCCCTCCCCACCAGTAGCACAAAGAGGCAGGAATGGGGATTACAGTCAGTTCCTCACATGTTATTTCTGCTGCTGCTTCATCTTCGAGGAGAGGAGTCCTTCCCCTGCTCCACCATGGGCTTTCCCTCAGAAAAGCCACCTCTGGAGCTCCCTGATTAGCAAAACCTTGCCACGGAAACCAAATACAAGTGGAATGTTGCATTACTGCTTGTAGAGGTTTTAGAGTTAGGGTAACTGCAGAAATACCAGCTGGCAGTTGAAGAGCTCTCTGTCGGCCTTGGTTACATTGGGTCTGTGCCTGGGGCCCCCTGGGCTGTGGGTGCCCATAATGTCACCTAATGTAGCCAGAGGTCTGGATCATGGAAAGGCCCTGAAGGTGTGCACACCTGAGACATACACTGTTTGTAAAGGCACTAATGCATTGTATTAGTTTTCACTTTATGCTTACTATTGTCTTCAGAAAGATCAGTTTGGATCTTTTTTGAAATGTGCATGTAACTCCTTTAGTCACCGTGGTGGGGACTTGGTTCTTGTTTATTTTTTTGTAATGGAAAGCTTAGCTCAATGTGTGGTGTCTGGTTTAGAAGCCTCTAAAATGAGAGGTTTATATGATCTTTGAAGCATTGGTCAGACTGGTGAACATAAATTTCTTTCTTGGAAGCTCACTAATACAATTTCAGTGAATATGTAGGATCTAGATGCTGATGTTATCACTTGCTCTTTCTCAAGAATGAAGAGAAGTAACCTTTTATATTTAACATTTATTGTGTATTTTGCCTAATGCGGTATTTCAGAATGAAATTTGCAGATATACTTTGGTTTCTCAGTGTCTTTCATTTGGAAAAAATAGGTAATATGTGTGCCTAAAACTTCCCCCAAAACCCTGCAAAGTGTGTCTAAATCAGACTTATTGTGTGTCTAGAGTTGAACTACTATCAGAACTTACAAGTGGCTTTCCAAGTGACTTGAAAATGTAGTGGAAATTTTTGTAAACATTAAGGACAGCTTCTGGATTAATTTCTGCTCTTTCTGTCCTGTTGTAAGTAGCCATGAAAAGTGTTTGTATTGGATATTCTTTTTTATATCCACATAAAATAGTTAACCTTTTTGAGATTCATGAGATATCTATGTAGGGTGTTTACTAGTTCATTTACATGTAAAATTTTCCTTAAGGTCCTTTCTGTAACATCTTATTTTTAATACCTTTGTAGGCATACGTTGTCGCCTCTTCCTTTTGATTATTTGCAACCATCTGAAAGATCCCTAACTGTTACCTTGCATCATGGTTCAGTGGCCCATAAAGATCCTTGCATGCTTGGTTTTGACTTGGTGACATGTATTGAACTGTGAGTATTAGGTCAATGCTCTACATTTTTCTAAGTTCATTAGAGTTCAGCTTGGAATTTTGTCCATGCTCCAAACAGACTTGATCAAACCTTTCAAGCAGAAGAGTAGAAGTAGAAAAGTAGCAAATAGAAGAGCGGCATCCTCTAACTTGTGCTTAAATTAGCCATACTAAGCTGTTCAAGTGGTGCTTGCATATGGTGGGAGAAAGATACTGATGAAAAATTGCAAAATGCAAGAGGAGATTTGGTCAGACAAAACCCCTGTGTGGCCACTTGGCCACAGTGCCACTGCTGATATTGCAGAGCTAGGTGTAAAATTACAAATTACAGATATGGGTTTGGCTTTTTTTTTTTGGCTAGTTGTTAAGATTAAAGTATCATAGGGTTTTTTAAACACAGACATCAATTTACTCTTTTTAGAATAGAACACCTGGAAGAATCAGAGCTGAAGAAATTTCCTGAAGTGGTGTTTGGTTTCATGGCTCCAAGCATGGTTGTGATCAGTACTCCAAATTCTGAATTTAACCCTTTGCTTCCAGGAGTGGTGTTACATAGGCATCCAGATCACAAATTTGAGTGGAACCAAGCGCAATTTCAAAGCTGGTAAGCTCACTGAACATGTATGCTGACAGCTCTGAGTGCCCCGGAGTGTGAGAAACAAATGGCATTTTCAGTATGGTTCACATATGTAGTTTGCTGTCAGTGAAGTGTCACCTCCTGACTTGGTGAAATGTTTCTTTGCTGTTAAGAGTAGTTAAGCATGTTCTGTGGGCTTTATGTTTTATGATGCTGGATAGGTTGGCTTGCTCTTACTGTAGCTGCTCTGCAGAAAACATTTAAAACTTTTACCTACCTTTTCGTGTATCTTTATTACAATTAATGCATTTGAAGTGTAAGGTTTTAATTAGCCTTTTTGCATATAGAAATGCTTTATAAAACCCTAAGAAATGTCCTCAGTATGTACATGCAAAGTGCTCAGTTAGTCCTGACCTTTCTGTAAGTGTGTGCAAGCAGTTATGGAATAACCATAGAGCAGGGCATGATGGATAAAATTGAGGATAGTTTGGTGTATCGTGGCACAATGAAATGCAAAATATGTACATGACAGAGGGTTACATGAAATCTGTCTTACTCTTAGTGTCGGTAGGTGTAATAGAAATAAAAGCAAGAGGGATATGTGTCCTGTGATAACATTCAACTGTCAAGCAGTTGTGGAAGAAACTGTATCTTGGAAGCTTTGCCCCTTAAATTATGTTGTTTCTGCCATAGACTTTGAAGTATCCAGTCACTTTTGAGTATGTAGTTTTGCAAAGCTTGAAGCATATATTTTTCCCTACATAAGGATACTAAAACCTGCCTGCATTATTAGTAGAGACCATTTTTATGACTTTAAGTAAATTTAGATTGTGCTTTTTGCTATATGTGAATTAAAAATATTGATATCACTAAACGAGTGATTTTTTTTTTTAAGCTGTAAACACAAAGTCTTTGTGTTGTGAAGTATAAGTATTGCAATATTCTCTAAAATACATGGGATGTTAATTTAGTTTATTACTTTCTCATGGAGAATGATGCAGGTAGATAGTGCCATTTTAGTTCCCTGCCCCATCCTTTTGTTCACACTGGCTGATGTACTACAAGATGGTTTTCATTTAGATGTCACGTACCCTGTTGTAACCTTTATTAGGTAGACTTTACTCTTTATACATATACAACAAACTCTTTTATTTTCCCTATTAACTGGTCTCCTGGGGTTTTGGGTTGTGTATATTTTTTATGAGTTCTTCTCAAATAACTTTGTTCTTGAAAATCAGTAGGTTATAGCTCACTTCTAATATATTTAAGTTGGTGACTAAGCAACTGTGACCATGAACTTTCTATGCACGCAGTTTAGAAATAATGGTAATGTTTGGATGCCTAAATTACTGATACTAAGTGATTCAGACTGTGGTAGGCATATGATTACAGCTCTGATACAGCAAGTTTTGACAGCACTTATCTTCAGGCATGTGAATATTGTTAGGGAAATTGGGCTCAAGCATTCACAGGCTCAGGGTCTTGCTTCTCCTTGAGAATGCATCTTTATCACATGAAAAGATGAATATTTCATACGATTGGAATAATTTGTCTTTCTTAGGGCTCTGGAGGCTGCTAGATGCTATGATTACTCCGTGGAATTTACTGGTGTAGGGCACCCACCAAAAGGAATGGAGAATGTTGGGTTTTGTACCCAAATAGGTGTGTTTGTTAGAAAATATCCTCAAACTGGTGGATCTGTTCAGTATGAGAAACCCACTGAAGCAGTTTACAAAACAGTAAGTATTACTTTCTTCATTTAGAGGTATAAATAAACAGTAAAATTGTCTATGACTGCCCGTGAAAGTGTTGTTACCATGGACTACTATTGCTATCCAGTCTTAGCTCTGATTGTCACACACCATCAGATCAAGAGAGTCTCATTCTATGATTTGTGTTTCTAATTGTATAAAGGCCTTTAACTTTTAGAATATTTGCTAAACAACACTGTGGATAATCATTCTTAACATACTCTTATCCTTAGAATGAAAATTTTCAATTCTGCCAGGTATACTATTTTTATAGTTTTTCCTCTAGTCATTCATTTCATTTATTAGGTGGTTGTTGGCAATTACACATATCTTTCAGATTCATAAAAAATAAAAGCAAAAAAGGCATTTCTAGCTAAATGCCTTGTGGTATAAATCAAATTTTTTCAGAGACAACATGAAGTAATAATTCAAAAATAAATATACTGGGTTTTTTCTTTTTCAATTTTATGAGGCCTTGTTTCAGTGAACATACATATTCAGTTCTTTGTGTAAAAATATGTATGTATCTTGAAATGACTTGTGACCTGAACTGAAACACAAATATATCTTCTGTAGTTTCCAAGCCATAAAAACATTTGTGATTTCTGTATTTCAAATTTCTATACATGTGAAATGTCACTTATCATCTACTGCCATTAATAAAATCTTGAAGTGGTCTGGGAATATGGAAGTATGTCTAGGTGATGGACATGTACTAGAAATTGCTTTCGTTATCTCCTGTAACAGGGCCATTAAGGAGGGAGTTTTGACATTGATATTCCTTTGAGTTTAAACAAGAGTGTTAATCTCCTGCGTTTCTTATCAAACTAATTTTTATTATGTAACTAATTTACGGGAATAAATCAATACTTCAGGATGAAGTTGAAAAGTAGGAAATAATTACAGACAGTGGAACTTCATTGGTACCCTGTTGATATAAAGCACTTCCTGGTAAGCTGGTGGGAATGAGTTTGTCTGTCTAGTTTCCTTAATTACCTCAGAGTATAGCTCAGTGTAGAACACACAAGTTCACATATTTTAATGTCACAATTTATTTTTAGCATCCCCTGCAGCTGTGAAAGCATATTTAATGTTTTATTCTGAAAACAGAATAAATGACATGCTCTAGTCCTGGTTTCCAGATGACAGTTCAGAAGTAGTTTAGAACTGTCACCAGCACCTCATCATGAGTAATGTGAAAAGTAAGAGAATTATTAAAAAGAACTAAGGAATTACAGGACTTCACCTTGCACATTTTATGAGTGTAGCTTGCAGGTATAAGCCTGTTTTTGGGGGGTTTAAATTCCATTAACTGGCATTGTAGTTGTAATACATAAAATCAACTCAACTAGTTTTTGGTATCTGAAAATGTTTAATAAGCAAAACAGGATTAAATAAAAAATTATGTTCACATTTTAGAGGGTTTTTTTGATAGCAAATGTTAAACTCTGACCCTGTGATACTGATAAACATTTTATGTGTTCTTGTATGTTGTAAAGGTCTTCAAAGCAGTGTATCCAAGTCTGAAAGATGAGAAGTACTTGCAGAATGCAGTTGTCAGTGAAGTTATTTTCACAGCCCAAAACATTAAGCACCATTTAATGTCAAAACATGAGGAGTACGATGATGATCCCGAAAGAAAATCTGAATTCCAGCCTTCAGTCAACTCTTTTTCAGACTATCTTGGAAAACTGGTTGTTGATAAAACCATGGAACCATTTGTCAATGGAAATGAGGTCTGTATACCTCTTGCAGCAATCTTTTCTTTTCCCAAAGTGAATCAACTGTGTGGTACCTTTGAGAAGTTATGCGAACTCATTGCTGGCAAGGTCACACTGAGCAGTGATGGTTCTGCTGTGGTGTTCAATACTGAACATGAAACTGAGGAGGATTAGATCACAGATTCCTTATACAAAGTTCAGTTAAAGTAATTAAAGTGGTTTTTTAGTAGCTGTCAAATGGTGTGTGCTGTATGCTAACCAGAACATACAGTCTTTTCTAAACCTCTCCTCGGTGGTCAGCACCTCTCCTATGGAATGAAGACAAAACCAGCAGTAACTCACAAGGGTTTCATGTAGACTATCAGAGGGTAAAAGGAAATAATTAATTCCCATGAAGAAAATGAAGTATTTCTGTTTGCTTTCTATTACCTTATTGTAGCTATCATTACTAGATTATTTTTTATCTCTTGTTAGCTCCCAGAGTAGTTGATGATAACATGTATTATGTTGTTGTGCTGAATAATGTGAGTCAAACATTGGATTAAGGCAAGTTTTTTTCTTACTAGAATGAAATTTATAGATGCCTTCTTCAAGATGAGCACATCCTCAGCCTTGATGAAAACCAAATGTTGTTCCAGATGAACAGTAATATGAAAGTGGTATTGTTGACTGTTCTGGTTTTTAAAGAAAAAAAAAATTAAGAAGTGCTATACTTGTGAATGCTAATCTGGCCCTGATGTACCTGAAAATTTTCTGTGTTTTCATGTGCAGCTGTTATGCAAAACTGTAAAATCCAAACAGAGTAAATGAAAAAAAATTCAAGAACAATCCATACCCCAGTAATGGTTTTGCCTTGGTATATTAATTGTGTGTATGCAGCAGCGGTATATAAGTGGGGCTTGTTTTCAGTCACAAGATGTTTTCCTTCTAGATTAGAAAAAGATCTTGTATCTAAATGACGCATTTTCCTTGTAACATACATGTTGCTAAAACAGTGTGAAAACACAGTAGTAGAAAAAGCAAAACATTTAAAAAAAGAAATCATTAACTGGAAAATTTGTTTGCTGATAAGACTTGTCATTTATTCTATAAGGAATCTGTTGACTCATGAAACAAAGAGAAAAAACAACAACCACAAAAGAAATTCTAGGATATTCTGGTGAAGTTTTGGAAAAAATTGTCTTCCTTCTTGACTGAAGTTAGTTATATATGGTACAGTTAATTCTCTTAATCCTTACTCTTCAAATAATTGGTTACTAAACTGATCTGAGTGCCAAATAGTTTGTGCTATAATTAGCTGCAATTTTCACCAATCTAGATTTTTTTCTTAATTTAGGAACAGATACTCAGTGCAGTACCAGAAAGCTTGGTTATTTTGGATGCATAACTGAGAAGAGAAATACATACCACAGTTAGTTCTTTTAAAAAATAAGAAGGAAATTTATAAAGTTATAGAAACCGTATGAAAAGTTTTTAGTAGGTCATTATACTCAACTGAGGAGGATTAATTTTGTCATTTGCAGGGTGGGCAGGGACTACACCCAGTGCCCTCACTTTCCCCGAATACTGCTAGTTTTGGAGTTTGCTTAATAAATTAACCTCCTAGTATGCCTGTCACACAAAGGAAAAATCAGTTTTAATGTAAGACTGACACACTACTTTTCCTCTCCAGGAGGCAGATAAATAACTGTACTAGTAACAGTGCCATTAAATACTTTGTGGTCTGGAGAGGGAGTTTAATAACCTGCAGGGGTAAAGTCTGAAAAGAGTAGAGAAACTGAAATGGACACAAACTTCCATTTAAGTTTGTAATTTTTTGCATTTTAAAAAAAGACATAATTGTTTAGGAACAGTTTCCAAGCTGAAGACATGAGTTTATTGAATGTCTGAGAGATTTGCATTTAAATACAGTAAAAAAAACCCCATAACCCACCCACACATCCTGAACAGTTTACTATATAGAAGTCTCCAGTATTCGTATAACACAGTTTACAAAAAGGAAAATACAACACCTAAATATGAAGGTTATATTCCACGTAAAATACACACAACTAGAGAATCACTTCGTGAAGAGTTGTAACTCAAGTCAGAAGAATAAATTACTAGGATACAATTTTATTAGAAGCTGGATTTCTGTGTCAACTTCCCTAAAACATCTGCTCAGGCAAGAAAATAATTATTCCTAGTAAAGAAAGTATCTAATCTATGACAATTAGCTGTGTCTTTTAACATAAAACACAAATCTGGGCTATGGAAATTCCCTTGAGAATTACATAAGTAGCTGTACAATGTTTTTTAAAAGTCTGTTTTCCTCAAACTATATGTAGTTTTCCTCAAACTATATGTAGTTTT